TGATTTCCATCTCTACTAGCATACGAGCATAAGCCACTCTTTGCCTTTTGGCTGTTAATGCATCAGTTGCAATAGGAACTCCCACATAGCTTGCTAGCTTTCCTAAGCTCTCAGGGTTCCAAAGACTCAAATGGAGTTCAGGAAATTGGACCCAGACAGGAATCTTACTGATATCCAAATTGTCAGGATCAAAATCTGGAGTCCACTGTTTCAAAATCAAAGGGTGCCCATTAAATGTCTAGCGCCTCTCTAGCACCGCCTGCTTTGCATTTCCATTACCAAAATCAAACAAGAAAACACCATTTCGCAGCATAAATGCCTTAGGCACCTGGAATTCCCTCCACCTGTTATTCATGAAATTAGCAACATCCTTAAACTCAGGTTTAGATCCCAGAACATACCCAACAAGAGCATTCTCCCAAATCTTTGACCCTTTAACCCACTCATCCTCGGTAATAACCACAGCACTAGTTGGATCTTGAGGTTTTATGCATTGCAAATCCCATCCTTTACTGATATCCCTATTCCCTTCCACAACCGAAGCCCAACTACGCAGTGGCTTCTACTTTAGGGATGGTTGAAATTCCCCTTTCTCCTTCTGAATCAGGTCACTCCACCGAGCACTAGGAGAAATCGTCGTATCGGATGTAGAACCAGCGTCCTTTTCCCCAGTAGGTTGCTTCATCTGGATGACAGAAGGCTGGGTCTCCGAGTGCACTCCCTTCTTCCCCTTCGCTGTTTTCCCTTCCACGGGGCCGGCCTCGTTCTTCCCCTTATCTGCTCTATCATCCCTGGAACCAGCATCAGATCTGCTTTTCCTTTGGCGTTGCTTCGAGACAGCTAGATCTAGCAAAATCCCTTCATCGTCCCCTTCTTTCTCCCCTAGATCTGGGCTCAAACGCCCTGATTTTTCAATTTCAAGACCCATCTGGTGAGGATCACGAGCAGCAAGCTTCACGACCTCTGTTTGCTCTTTGTTGGTTTCCCCAACTGAGATGCTATTTTGCCCCCGATTATCATCTTTCAGATCTATTCTTTTTGTTGCAGAACCACCCTTAGGCGGCGGATCTTTCTTTCTCGGCCGGCCTCTGCCCCCCATCTCCAGCGTTTCCAGCTAAACTACCACGCTCGCGAACGAGAGCATGGTTGACGGAATATCAAATCTTTGTATTTATAAAATTTTAAGTTAAATATAAATATAAATAAATACGTATCGCACTTGGACTTTTAAACCCAATGACATCAGGTCACATATAAGTGCATTTCTTCACCTTAAGATATCATTCGATTCCGACTCCATATGAATTTGTTTAAAAAAATAAATAAATATATATATATCTCATAACCATATCAGACGTTTGTACCACTACTGATCCACTGTTAAAGGGAATCCAATGAAAATTCGGACATCATAACAGACATGTCTCATGTAAGCGGCTGCGGTGGGTCGGTAGCAACACC